AAAAAAAAAAAAAAAAAAAAGAAAGAAAAGGAACATGCTTCTCAAACTGGGTACAGGTATCCCTGGGGATATACAATAACTTTCCAGGGGCTGCATGAACACAGAGAGTTTTGAGAGATTGACTCGTTTCTAGATGCTCAAGCCTGTGTGTATTTTCCTAAAACGATCTGCCTGAGGAGAAGCCTGTGGTCAGCCTGCGCCTCCCCTTTCTCTTCTTCCCCTTCCCAATTCCCTGTCTACTGAGGGAAGCAGACAGGGACTCCTCTCCCTGTCCTGGGTGTAAAACCCTCCAGGCTCCCTCCCACGTGGATGCTTGGTTTCTGTCGGGGGGGCCTTGAGAGTGAAGCAGAGCATCAGGAGACATGCGCTGGGGAGGTTTGCTCCAGGCTCCAGGCCCAGGCAAGGAGCCAGGCCTTATCTAGCCATCCCTGCGTGCCATGTCTACCATCTATCCACAAATTAGAATTCAGAGTGAGATAATGGTCCCAGGGATGCATGTTCACACATTTCTTTCACTGAAAAAAACAAAACCAACATTTTTCTTATAATCAGTTTGATTGTGTAATTGGTTTGGCAGAAGAGGATGGGTGTCCTTGCTTAGATTCTACTGCAGAGATTTCCCAGAAACGGAATCAACTCGGCCCTGTAGCTCCAAGAGTTTGGATGAAAATACAGTTAAAAAAAAATACGCAACAACGTGGGAAATCCCATCCTTGGCAATGATTCAAGCTTATGATAAGAACATTTTAGTGCTAGCTGAAAATGTGTGGAGGGGTACATAGTTCTAGAAACTTCTTTGAGAGTGACGTGAGCGAGAGTTAGAAGATCACGGCTTTAGAACACTCATCATTTCCAATTGCCCCTCAGTCTTGTGGCCAAGAGGCCGGCAGCCGATCTTCCAGCCACATCTTGGTTAAGTAGCTGAAGTAAGACCATCTTGGTTCAACACCCACAGCCTTCTCGATTAAATAGATAATGGTGGTTTAGTCAATATTTCCCTTCACTGGTTCTTTTTTTTTTTCTTTCTTGAGATGGAGTTTTGCTCTTATTGACCAGGCTGGAGTGCAATGGCATGATCTCGGCTCACTGCAACCTCCACTTCCTGGGTTGAAGTGATTCTCCTGCCTCAGCCTCCCAAGTAGCTGGGATTACAGGCGTCCACCACCATGCCCACTAATTTTTGTATTTTTAGTAGAGATGGGGTCTCACCGTGTGGCCCGGGTGGTCTTGATCTCCAGACCTCAGGTGGTCTACCAGCCTTGGCCTCCCAAAGTGCTGGGATTACAGGCGTGAGCCACCGTGCCCTGCCCTTACCTGGTTCTTACCATAGTGGTCAGGATTATTACCACAAGACCTGGGCCACAGAGGGAGGTGTGTGTGTGTGTGTGTGTGTGTGTGTGTGTGTGTGTGTGTGTGTTTGGGAGTAGGTGAAGAGAAGGGTCATCTTTGCAAAAACAACCCAAAAATGTCATGGAAGAGTCAGTGGGCTTGGAGGCTGATGGTCTCTGGTGGCTCAGGTGAGTCTCTTCACCTTTTTGGGTTGCCATGCAATGGCCCTTAGCCCCAGCCTATTGTCTGTCCACAGGGCTGCTGAGAGGAGGAACCTGGTGACTGAGAGAGAGGTTGGTGAAGAGACAGAGGGGCTGGGCTGGGCACCATGGCTAACGCTTGTGATCCCAACATTTTGGGAGGCCGAGGTGGGCAGATCACCTGAGGTCGGGAGTTTGAGACCAGCCTGGCCAACACGGTGAAACCCCATCTCTACAAAATATACAAAAATTAGCCAGGCATGGTGGTGGGTCCCTGTAAGCCCAGCTACTCAGCAGACTGAGGCGGGAGAATCACTTGAACCCAGAAGGCGGAGGTTGCAGTGAGCCGAGGTTATGCCATTGCACTCCAGACTGGGCCACAGAGCGAGACTGTCTCAAAAAAACTAAAAGAGAAAGGGGTGGAAGGTGAGGAGACACAGTGGTCAGGCTCCCTCCACCCACCCGTGGGGCAGGGAGGCTGCTGGAGTTAGTTAATTCATTAGTAATATTTTAAACTGACACTGACTTGGCCCTTACCCCGTGCTAGGCAGTATTCTAAGTGCTTTAAATATCAGCTTATTTTACATTCACGACAATCCCACGAGGCAGGTTTTACTCTTATGCCCATTTTCCATTTTGAATCCAGGAGGTGTGCCTCCCGAGCCTCTTTTAACTCCGGGAGGATTCATTTCACCTGCTATGTCACAGAAATGATTTGAATTTGGAGATGCTGGGAAGTGAAATGTCTGCGTTCCCCTTGGGAGGGGCACCTGCAGGTTCACAGCGCGTCTGCAGGTTCAGGGACTTACAGCCCGCAAGTGATCCCTGCAGATGAGAAATATGGGGAAATTATATATATATATTTGCTTTCTGTTGCTGTTTGTTTGTTTTTTGAGATAGAGTCTTGCTCTGTCACACAGACTGGATTGCAGTGACACAATCTTGGCTCACTGCAACCTCTGCCTCCCAGGTTCAAGTGATTCTCCTGTCTCAGCCTCCCTGGTAGCTGGGATTACAGGCACAAGCCACCATGTCCAGCTGATTTCCGTATTTTTAGTAGAGACGGGGTTTCACAATGTTGGCCAGGCTGGTCTTGAACTCTTGACCTCAGGTGATCCGCCCGCCTCAGCCTCCCAAAGTGCTGGAATTACAGGCGTGAGCCACTGCACTCGGCTGGGAAATATTTTTTATAACTTTTGGGTAAAGAAGATGTACATAAACAAGACATGAAACAACCCTTACCCCTCTGGAAGGTTAATAAATTTGACCACATCAAAGCTAAACACTTCTGTATGATGGTGAGTGAAATTATGCAATTAGTAATAATAATAGGTGACATTTATTGGACATTTCCATGAAGCTATGCAGATAGCTTTTATGTGCTTTATTTTACTTCATCCTGTCAGTAATGCAACAAGAGAACAGTGCTGCTGATGAAAGGGAGCATGAAGAGTTAAGGAATTTGCCTCGGGTCACGCAGCCAGAGTGGTGAGCCAGGATGCAAACCCAGCCAACTTAGTCCCAGAAGTTGCGTTTTTAATTCTTAAAACAAATATAAAAAACGATGGGAACTTATTTCCAAAACATATTAACAAACAACAGCCCAGTGGAAAAATGGAGAGCGTGCCGGGCGCGGTGGCTCACGCGTGTCATCCCGGCACTTTGGGAGGCCGAGGGTGGGTCCCTTGAGGCCAGGAGTTCAAGACCAGCCTGGGCAAGACCTCGAAACCCGATCTCTACAAAAACTACCAAAGTTAGCCAGGTGTGGTGGCACACGCCTGTAGTCTCAATTACTTTGGAGGCTGAGGTGGGAGGACGGGTTGAGGCCGGGAGACAGAGGCTGCAGTGAGCTGAGATCGAGACACTGCCCTCCAGCCTGTGTGACAGAGTAAGACTCTGTCTCAAAAAAAAAAAAAAAAAAGGAAGAAGAAGGTATAAATACATCTGTGTCCAGGGAACGTTTTACCTAGTAGGAAAACCAACTCTTTCCAGTCTTCCTGGACTCATCACTAGTTCACAGTCAGTGTGCTTGTTCTTTTTTTTTCTTTCTTTATTTGAGCTGGAGTCTTGCTCTATCACCCAGGCTGGAGTGCAGTGGTGTGATCTCAGCTCACTGCAGCCACCGCCTCCCAGGTTCAAGTGATTCTTGTTCCTCAGCCTCCAGAGTAGCTGGGGTTACAGGCGCCCACCACCACACCTGGCTAATTTTTTGAATTTTTTTTAGTAGAGATGGAGTTTCACCATGTTGCCCAGGCTGGTCTTGAACTACTGAGCTCAGGCAATCTGCCTGCCTCGGCCTCCCAAACTGCTGGGATTACAGGCGTGAGCCACTACTCCCGGCACAGTGTGCTCATTCAAAACCATCCTCGTCCGCTGCTCAGGACAGGCCCAGGTGGACTTCCCTCTTCCCTTGCTCCCTGTCGCCCCAGCAGGTGTATGAATGAAGAATCAGACCAGTCCCATATCCAGGCTCACAGGGGTCACGTGTCTTTGTAAAGCCGGGGGACTGTCATCTGCTCCATGCCTGACGCTCCGTATTCACTCCCATCTCACCTTTACCAGCCTGGAGGGGATGGTAACTTCTCCAGTGTTGGGGTGACGCTCAGAGCCCAGTGCCGGGTCCAGGCCCCCACACTCTGGGCTGGGGTTGCGTACTGGCAGAGCACTGTGAGATTCACCTTATCTTTTCTTCCTCATGCCCTGGGCCAACTGCCAAGATGCCAGCTTGTGGCATCTGAGTCAGGCTCCTTCCCCGGGCCTGCCGGGCCGCCTGCTCCACCACAGTTGTGAGGGGAACCCAGGCTGCCCCTGTGTGTCTCCTCCAGTCTTCATCGGCTGCCTGCTGCTGTCTGCACCCGTGTTTGGCTACCTGGGTGACCGACATAGCCGGAAGGCCACCATGGGCTTCGGGATCTTGCTGTGGTCAGGAGCTGGCCTGGCTGGCTCCTTCATCCCACGCCAGGTAGGTGTCCAGGCCGCTGCCCAGGCCCTTGGGGCCCCTTCCCCACCTGCTTCCTCCCTGGCCCAGCGCCGTCAGAGCTGGGTGGGGACAATTCTGCTCCATTCCCGGCTATGAGTGGGGGTCGAACTGAGGGCTGGGAGAGGAGGTGAGGGCACAGCTCCCAGCTGAGCCTGTACAGGGCAGAGTCGGAGACTTTCTTTCTTTTTTCTTTTTGTTTTTGAGACAGAGTTTTGCTCTTGTTGCCCAGGCTGGAGCGCAATGCCGTGGTCTTGGCTCACTGCAACCTCCACCTCCTGGGTTCAAGCGATTCTCCTGCCTCAGCCTCCCAACTACCTGGGATACCAGGCACCTGCTACCAAGCCCGGCGAATTTTTGTATTTTTGTAGAGACAGGGTTTTACCTTGTGGGCCGGGGTGGTCTCGAACTCCCAACCTCAGGTGATCCACTCGCCTCAGCCTCCCGAAGTGCTGGGATTACTTGCATGAACCACCACACCCAGTCAAGCTAGTGGACTTTCTTTATTTTATTTTATTTATTTATTTTTTTAAAGATGGGATTTCACCATGATGGCCAGGCTGGTCTTGAACTCCTGACCTCAGGTGATCCACCCACCTCGGCCTCCCAAAGTGCTAGGATTACAGGCGTGAGCCACCGCGCCCGCCCTGCTAGTGGACTTTCTTAACAGGAGGCCTCCTCTCTCCTACTTCTCACTGCCACACCAGGTTCATTTCTGCCCGACTCTGCTGGGGTGGGGCTGAGGGTGACAGCTGCTGTCTTGGGGAACTGGCCTGGTTAGCCATGGGAGGACCCAGGAGAAGGGCTCCCCTGAGCAGGAGGGCAGGTGGTGGCTGCAGGGGACACACGTGTGACTTTGGGAACCTGGAGGGGGGAGGGTAGTGAGGTGTCTGTAGCCCCGATCCCCTCTCCTTCCTCTGGGGTCCTGTGTCACGGGTACCCTTGGCCCCTGGCCCTATGGGTGGTTTCTGGAACTCACTGTGGTCTTGTGCCCGCTTGCCCAGTATGCTTGGCTCTTCTTCCTGTCCCGGGGCACCATGGGCACTGGCTCCGGCAGCTACGCCACCATTGCACCCACTGTCCTGGGCGACCTCTTTGTGAGGGACCAGCGCACCTGCGTGCTGGCCGCCTTCTACATCTTCATCCCCGTGGGAAGGTTGGTATCACCCATGGGCCCACTTCCCCAGGTGGTAAACTGAGGCCCGAAGGAGTCAGAACAGGGGCTGGGGTGGGTAGGAGAGGTCAGACCAGAGGAGTTGGGATTGGAGTTCTCATGCTACCCCTTCCTCACTGTGTGAGTTTACCTTTCCGAGCCTCAGTTTCCTCATCTGTGAATGGGGCAAGGGTGCCAGCTGATGGGCGGGGAGGAGTAGAGGGCATGGGATGTACCTACAGATTTGTACACTCGGCGGCCGCGCGGCCCACGCAGGGAGGGGCCGGCCAGGGAGGCCAGGGGAGGAAGTGTGCTGGGACCAGGCCCTGCACCTACCACAGGCTCAGCCCGGGTGGGGCTTGCAGTCAGGACCCTGGCCTCTGACCCCGCTTTCCTGAACTCACCTGACTTAAGCAGGGCCCGGCCTTGGGCAGGAGGGTGGAGGGTGTCCCCATAGGTGGGAGAGTGGCGCTGGGGGCAGGCTGGGAGCCAGAGGCCGCTGGTGGCTTGATCAAGGGCAGTGGACATCTGGGCCCCACGGGGCTTACTTTCCTCAGTGAAACAGCTCTGAGACTGCAGAGGGCCAGCTCCCTGGGGTGGGGGGGGCACCCTGGGTCAGGCTGGCCATGGGGTCTGCCTCCTGCGCCCCCCCACAGCCCATCACCCTCGCCCCTCTGTTGCAGTGGCCTGGGCTATGTGCTGGGGTCGGCTGTGACGGCGCTGACCGGGAGCTGGCGCTGGGCCCTCCGAGTGAGTCCGGCTTCCTTGTCTTCCCTCTGCTTTCCCTCTGGACCGGCAGGGACTTTCCAGCCTCGGATGACCTTTGCCACTTGGCATAGCACCCGGCGCCACGGTGGGGGGCGGTGGTCAGGCATCAGCAGCTTTGGACATTTGGGGCCTCATAGGGAGCGTGGGTTGTGGAGGTCGTGACCCTGGGTTCCAAAGCTGGCTGCTTCGTGTCCTCCATATGTGACCTCAAGTGAGCCGCCTTCTTCTTCCGAGCCTCAGTTTGCCTGGGGGCGGAGTGGGGATAGTAAATGCTACCGGAGGCATCTTGGGGGTCAGTGAGACAGAGATGGAATTTCCGAGGATCATGGCACCAAGGAGGCCCTTGAGGGCTGGCAGCGAGGCTTGCCGGGCAGTGGGGCAGGATGCTGGGAAGACGCTGTGCAGGCCCTGCTGGGGCTGCAGGCATAGTGACTCCAATGTGGGCACGAGACGACCATTCTGCAGAGGAAGGCGCTGAGCTCAGCCCTAGGAGTGCCCGGGGGCTGGTGTGTGGAGCACTGAAGCCAGAGCCGGAACCTTGCGGGTGGGGTGGGCTTCAAGGAGGCAGGTCTGACCTGGCTCGAATGTATCGTCTCATGGTCTGAGCTGTTTGAAGGCCACCCAAGGCAGGCAGTGAGATCCCGGTCCTTGGGGTTTGAGCCGAGGGGCCCCTAGGAGGGGATACCAAAGACGGGTGTGGCAGATGGAGGGCTGGCCCAGGGAAAGGTCAGCTCTAGGGGCAGAAAGTCCTCGGGAGGCCAGGCCAGTGTAGCGAGGGTCCCTGTTCTCAAACATCTCAGGCCCATTGGCCCCGAAAAAGTGATGTCAGTACTGGAAAGACAGGAGTTACATCAAGCCCCAAAGAGACCTCACTCCCCAGAAAGGCTGCAGGGGAGCGGGCTGAGAAACAGGGGTACGTCCCGCTCTGTGGATAGAAGCACCCAGGAATCATGTCACCCCGACTACCCCAGGGCCTGGACCCCAGAGGTCAGACGCTGGCTGGTACTGTGGCCAGCTGTCCCCGGGGTTCTCAGCGTCCTGGGATCTCTTGTCCCCAGATCATGCCCTGCCTGGAGGCCGTGGCCTTGATCCTGCTTATCCTGCTGGTTCCAGACCCACCCCGGGGAGCTGCGGAGACGCAAGGGGAGGGGTCTGCAGGAGGCTCCAGGAGCAGCTGGTTCAAAGACGTCAGATACCTGGGGAGAAAGTGAGTGTCCCTGCCAGCCACGGAAAAACCCCTTTGTCTGCCCCAGCCTCATTGACCCCCCTTTCTCCACCTCCAGGGAGCCCTCCCTGGTTGCCCCAGTATTCACAGCCCTCCTCTTCCTCTGAGATTCCATTTACCCATGGAAGTGGCCCCCCCTCCCTTAGAGCTCAGCCCCCCATCACCTTGCCATGTGACAGAAATATGGACAGGGAGGGAGGAAGATGGCGTGAGCCCCAGCCTTGCTGCTGCTGCTGCCCTGCACTCAGAGCTTTGCTGTCCGTTTATTCAAGAAGCAATTCTCCAGCCTTGCCCGCTTCTCCGGGTTGCGGGGAGGATGCTGGGAGTTCATCACTCACCTCTCCCAGCCTCGTGGCGTGTGTCATCCTCAGTGCCAGCCACCCCTGGGGAGGCAGGCAGGGGTCCCCTGCCGGTCCCAGGCCTCGGAGTCACTGCAGTGCAGGCCATGGACAGGACCCAATTCTGGTGCTGAGCCGTGGCACTGGCCAGGAGGACTTGGGGGAAGATGGGGCAGGCAGGAACAGCTTCCTACAGAATGTGATGCTGGATGGGGGCCCCTCAGGATGGAGAGAGTGGAGAGAGGTCCTGCAGAGAGGAGCGAGGGAGGAGGTGGCACACCGGAGCCATGGGGAGGCTGGAGCTCAGGGCGCTGCCAGGAAGGATCTGGAGGCTGGAGCTTGGGGAAACCTGAGTGCCTTCTTCTTTGGCGCCTCAGTTTGCCTGCCTGTAAAGAGGGGGTGGCGAATGCTGCCTACGGAATCTTGAAGGTCAAGGAGACACGAGATGGAAAGTTCCCGGAGTGCCCAGGAGCGGGAGGGTGCACAGGCCCCTTCAGCCCCAGCCCCGCCCAACATCCGCCGAGGCACCTTGTCTGTCTTGCAGCTGGAGTTTTGTGTGGCTGACCCTCGGCGTGACCGCCATGGCCTTTGTGGCCGGAGCCCTGGGCTTCTGGGCCCCCAAGTTTCTGCTGGAGGCGCGCGTGGTCCACGGGCTGCAGCCTCCCTGCTTGCAGGAACCGTGCAGCAACCCCGACAGGTGAGGGCGTCGGGGGCCCGTGGCCCAGCTTGGGGGGCGGGGGGCTCTCACTGAGGAAGTTCTGAGATCTGAGCTCCAATGTTCAGTTTCTCTGGGGGGAGCACGTGGCGCTGTGTGGAGACAGTAGGAACCGGCCACGGCCAGGCCCCCTTGACTTCTCTGGGCTGAACTCCCCGTCTCTCCACCCTTGTGGCTGCTGTAGGTGTCGGGAGGTGCCTGTGGGAGACGTGGGTGAGGCTTCTGCGGGGCCTGCGGGATGACAGGAGCCTCAGAACCATCCTGCTGGGGGCCTGCAGTGTCTTCCGTGAGGGCATCCCGTTCTACGCATGGCAAACGGGGGCCGGAGGCCACTCTGGTTTTGGGATTTCATGTGTTGGGAAGGCTGCTGGGAGGGGGCACGGGCACTCTGCCCTCAGGGCACAGCCTCTCCCGCTTCCTGCCTGGCTGTCTCTGCCACCCTGCCGGGCTCCACTTCTGTCCCTGCCACCGTTGACCCCGGGCCCCAAGAGCTCCAGTGACCGCTTGATGCTGAGTCAAGGACATCCTCCCTGAATAGCAGGCCCCTGACCCTCAACCCTGGCCTCCTCCCTGCCTCCGGGGCTGCTCCTCAGCCTCCCTGTGGCCTCCTCCTCCTTTCCTACCCTATCCTGGTGGGTCCTGGGGACGCTGTCCTCTTCCCTGGAGCCCCATCCTCCCCAGGGCTTCTGCGACACTCGTCCTCTGCTGACTGCCCCTCCTCCTCCTTCCCTCTTCTTTCTTCCCTCCTCCTCCCCTCCTCCTCCTTCCCTCTTCTTCTTTCTTCCCCCCTTCCCTCCTCCTTCCCTCCTCCTCTCCCTCCTCCTCCCCCTCCTCCTTCCCTCCTCCTTCCCTCCTCCTCCTTCCCTCCTCTTTTTTCTTCCCTCCTCCTTCCCTCCTCCTCTCCCTCCTCCTCCCCCTCCTCCTTCTCTCCTCCTCCTTCCCTCTTCCTCCTCC